ATACATATATTAACTTGCATTTAAATTTAATTTAATTAGAGTTAAGGCTAAAACAAATATTTTAAGTGAAAAAAGCAAAACAAAATCCTTTCTAATTAATTTTTTTGCAAAGTTAAATAAATTTTTAATACACACTAATTATTTTATCAATAAATTTTTAATAATATTGTGATTTATTTCTTATTTTAATGTAAAAAGCAAGATGACTTATTGAAATGTGACTGCATTGTATGATTTAGATGAGAATCATCATTTATAAGGTATTATTGATTCCATAACGAAAGTAATATGTTTCAACATTTAGTTAACTTTAAATTTACTTTTATTAACATTTAATAATAACATGATTAAATATTGCACTTCTTATAAAATATCATTGTTCAAGGAAGATATATTACGTATAACAAACAATGACAAAAATAGATAGTTATACTTACCATATTGTTTGCAACATTAAGTAATTAATTTAGGTTAAATTAGATTAACTTCATTGAATTTAGATAAAAAATTCTTTATTTCATGTATATAGATTGATGTGTATTGTTGTTGGTTTTGAGTATTACACTAAAAAAACAATCAAAATATATCGAAAATGTTACAAGTTCATATGTAACAATCTTTTTATGGATTTTTTATAGATTGAAATTTGTTGATAATATTTCACGACAAAAATTTGTATCTGTAAATATGTCGATAAATTTTGTTGTCATGAGCGAAGAAAAATCCATCGATAATTATTGAGGGAAATATCCGCCTTTAAAGTTTTTTGATAAATACCATGATCTAGTTTATCTTTTTCTTCCTTTCTCATTCTTCTTGTTTCTTTTAGGCTTTCATTTCTTTTATTTGTGAATGGTGACTCTCGTGGTAGGTTCTCGTATGATTACGATAACGTGAGGATCTACGGTGGTTTACGATAGTGTTACAATGGTGAAACCTTATTGTGAAACCACATGAAATTAGATTTTCTAAGTCACTATGGTTCTCCCTCATGAAGGATAACAAAATCAAATTCGCCTAATCCTATCACCGTTCATTATCTAGTTTTGCAGTTTCAGGTGATTGTGTGGAAGGAGTTACTCCAATGACGTGAATCTGTTTAAGGTTCATGAGCTAACATTGGAGTTGTTTGTTTTGTGGTGTGTGGCTCAAATAATGGTGAACCGTGTGAATCTGCATTCATGTTAGTGGTGCGATTGTGAGGAACAATAGGTTCGTGGTGCCTTCTATTTGTGTCATGGTGGCTAAATGGCTACGTGATGGAGACTCTTCAGTGAGTGTGTGGAACTTGATCTACTCTTATTTTGGGTTGTTCGCATGCTGACGCGAGAGCTACATCTAGCTGAGCTTCAATCTGAATTGCTACTAGTGGTTGAAGGTGTCGCGATTTTTGTCGTGAGAGGAGATCCAATGACATTCATAATGACTACATGAATGGCTCACAACTAGGTGTCATGGTTCTATTCGAGAAAATGGAGATGAAGGGGACACGTAATATGTTGTGGTTTGTTTAATTTTGAAGTGGTGAATAAATGTTACTTTTCTCTTCTTGATTGGACAACTTTAAAAGTGATAGATTGATGTCATTTAATTTGATGCGAAATTTCGGCAAAAAATGTATTGTTCTTTTTATCGACAAATTTTTCCGTCAATAAATTTATCAGTAGTAAATTATGTAATTAACAACGAATTCATTAACGAATTATTCTCTCAGTAACACATATTTTATAAAATAATTTTAAAACAAAAATATAGTTAACCTATAAAATGAAAAATTGTTTTATTTATATGAAATGAATTAATCTAATTTGTGTTGATTGAGTAGTGTCTAAATGTTTATTAATAAGTCTAGTTACAAAATTATATGATAATGTTGAGTGAGCAAACCTCAATTGTAAAGAATTACTCTTTGACTTCGCTACGAGGACATCAGGAATGGGACCTGTGAGACTATTCCTTGACAAATTACTGCAAAGATATTGACGAATTTCTTCACATCAATTTTTAGAAGAAAAGAATAATTTCTTTCAATTAAAATTACCATATACATAAATTAATTCATAAAATTTTCTCTAATATAACATTTTATTTTTAATCTATACATAATCTAATTTTAATTTATATAAAAATATTTATTTTATTTTTTCTTTTAGTTTTTCTCTCTTAATTTTATTTTTATAAATAAGTTAAGTAGAAACATGAAAAAAAAATTTGTAAGTTTAGTCAATACTCAATTATAACAACTTACAGTATCTTCAACTGCGATAACTTGGCAAAGAATTCTGGCACCTCTCCCACCAATTGATTGTTTGACAGATCTCTGCAACATAGTAATAATTATTGTTTTGGTTTTCATTCCTTAACCTCCTTGCACAATTGTCCTTACAAAATGCTAAATTTAATAAATGGAACTTACAAAATCTCTAAATTTGCAAGGTTGGAGAATGACACATCTATGTTGCCCGATAATTTACAAAATCTCTAAATTTCATGGTAAATATATGTCATTGTATCCGGATAAAAATAAATAAATAGAGAGAAATGAAATGAGAAAAGAAAAAGTCACTATAACTTTGTTAATTTTTATATATTAAATGACTAACTTTAATTTTTCAAAAAAAAAAAGAAAACAGTTAAAAATTAAGTAAAATTTACTAAAGTTACTGAATTTTCCAAAACAAAACATTATTACTACTTTGATGTGACCATGAGAAAATCATGTCGAGAAAAAAAAGTAAACAAGGGAGGTTCAAAGAATTTAGATACTGTAATAAATTTTTTCATAATCACTTATAAAAAAAAATCTGCTATAAATTGAAATAAATGATTACGTAAAACATATTTTTACAGGTTGAAATAAAGCTTTAGAGAAATTAAAATCCAAGAGTTTGTAAGGCATGAATTAGTTTTAACTTACAAAATTGTATTTATGTTCTTCTTCAAAATCTTAATCACTTGATATTTCCTATGATTTTGTAAAGTTATATACATTATTCTCACTCAATCCATTGTATCATGAAAATGTTACTTACAATGAGATGATTCTTGGAGGATTCCTAGCATTGCAAGTCAGACCATCCCATGTAAATCCGGTGGGTCCGCAGGGGTCTCCTTGCCACTTCATTCTGGAGATCTTATAGATGTCTTTGATGCGTTTGATTGCATCGACTGATATTAATTTCCAACAATTATCAAAATTTTAGGATTAAGATAATGAACTTAGTAATAAAACAAAATTTTAAATATTAGTAATTAATTATGTTTTGATAAGTAAAAGTGAAATTAAGTTACCATCATCTTGGTGCGTGGGTGAAACAGACTGAGGAACGACTCGATAAATCTCATAAGCATTAAGCATGGCAGGTAAGTGAGAGTCAGAGGTGGCTTTAATGAAAATGTTGTTAATGCCCATTCCTTGTTCTACCGTAAGTTGTAGGGTAACGACCTCCTTGTACGAAAGGCTAACGTTTTTTGTGACATTAACTTGAACATCTTCTCCAAAGCCATTAACAAGAACATTCATTATCCTTTTCTCACTACTATCTACCCTTTCCTCAAAGTCAAAAAAATGAAGATATACTTTATATTCGAAACTCCTGTCTGTGTAATTCCTCCATATATTCACCGAATCAGACAACCTCAATGCCCTCACTGCAGTGTTCAACACTTCTGTCGGCAACTTGTAAGGATCATTCAGCGTATCCAAATCAATACCTAATTCTGTGCTCATTTCTTTCTCATTACGTGTTAACGCTCTTGCAAGCCAAGACCTACCATATTCGTCATCCATATACCTATCATGATTAAACAAACAATTTTAAGGTTTAATTTGTTGTCATATAGATACGCATATGTATATGTATATGTATATGTATGTATAAGATTAAGCGAAGTGACCTGAGCAATTGGTTGGGTGCATAAGAGACACCAAGTGTGACTCTGGTGAGGAGATCTAGAGTCTGTAAATTCAACAAATCTTGATAAACATAAGCACTTCCCAGAGGCCACAACTCCAACAGTGAAATGAAAGGTACTCCTTGCTCAACATTCACCAGGCAGAAATCAATGGTGTCCGTTAAGCTGGTATAAATAGCTTCAACTCGACGAGTGTTATTAGCCACACTGAAACGTATGAAAGTGAAGACAGTGACATCAATGTACAAATCAAAAGTTGGAGGCATACTTTTGTTGTCGTAGTTTCCATACGCAAAGTAACCTCTCACAATGTATCTCTTGTTCTTTCCCTGTTTGGGTTTCAAGCTATAGCAATTCCTCTTCCCTTCTGGGAAGCTTCGAAGTGACGTAAGCTGTTTGTTAATTTGAGCTTGGGTTTCAAATGAGTTATTGGAAATGGTGTGAATTTCACCGAATTCAATATCATCGTCTTGGTACTGTATGCTGGTCATCAAGTCAATGTAGCCCTCCTTTACCCCACAATCAATGCTTATCACATCTACAATAGAATTGTCACACAATAATTAAGTAGCCAATAGATATGGGTTTATGCTTCATTTTTATCAAGAATTAACAAAATAAAGTCTTAATTAGTATACCTTAGCTCCAAATAACGCAAATTAATTAATATTTTGAGGTTTTAACTTCTCCTCTGTACGAGATTTTTTTTTATTCAAATTTGAAGGTAGGCTTATGGTAAAACTCACTAGAAAGAGTGACAGGTGAAAGCATAATCATGATTGAGAGATGTAAAAAAATAGAGTAATATTTTTTACTTTCGTATGTATATTTTGTACAAGAGATATGAAGCATATCAAATGCTCTTTTAGTTTAATTGTATGCTTAAAAAGAAAAGCATTTCAAGTTTGAAGACTAAAAAGCTATATATTGTCAAGGTTGAATGGCATTGTTATTGACAAACCCCCTCATAAACCAGCACAAGCTTCATAAAACAGACCACAATTGCTACGTAGAAAAAGAAAAGAAAACTAATGACAATATATATATATATATATATATATATATATATATATGATCTACTATAAAGATAAAGGACAGAGATACTAAATTTCTATATTTTTAAACTTGTGCTTGAACATTTATATTTATATATATTCATTCAAGATTAGAAAGAGAGAATTTTAATAGAATAAAATTTTAAAATGTTAATTAAAATGAACAAAACTAATATTTTTCATTTAAGCTCTCTCTCTCTCTCTCTCTCTCTCTCTCTATATATATATATATATATATATGATCTACTATAAAGATAAAGGACAGAGATACTAAATTTCTATATTTTTAAACTTGTGCTTGAACATTTATATTTATATATATTCATTCAAGATTAGAAAGAGAGAATTTTAATAGAATAAAATTTTAAAATGTTAATTAAAATGAACAAAACTAATATTTTTCATTTAAGCTCTCTCTCTCTCTCTCTCTCTCTCTCTCTCTCTCTATATATATATATATATATATATATATATATATTCTTCTTTTTAATGTAAATTATTTACAATAGTTATTTTGCATAATCCTCACCTGACGTCAGGTGACCTCATTATTAGATGTAGTAGTTAATTATTTTTTTTTATTCCTTGTAAATTATAACATCTTTCATACTTAACTTCAAAAAATGAAAAAAAGATAGATTTAGAATAAATTCCAGTTTGTCATGTTTAATATTCTAAATCTTGATATTGTATTTCTCACCGGAAATAATCTGGCCGGAAACTAGAATAGGAAGAAGGATTATTCTAAATGTAATAAAACAGTCATTACATGTACTTAACTCAGCTATTAATTTCATGAAGAATTATATATAAGTTTTATTGATCCGTAAACGTTGATAAGAAACATAGAAAGTTTATACCTGAATAATCAACATTGGCAAGCTTTCTATGAGGAGTTTCATCGATTCCTGCAGCACGATTTATGGTGGATGAAGCACATACTGCTACAACCACAATCCACTGCAACGCTCTCTCCATGATTCATACAGAGAAAATAAAACAATAAATGGCAAGAAAAGATTGGTTAAAATCAACTCTTTGCAGACACCATTATATATCAGTGTAGAAGAAAGAAAAATAGTAGTTCTGATTTTGAAAGCTGAATGGGAAACCAATGAGAAAGGAGTTAAGCCATTTGAATATTCAGTAGGTTTTTATAGGTCAAATCGAATAGTACGTGTAGAAAATTATTAAAAATAATAAAATTGGAAAATACCTTTATATGATTTTTCATTATAATTATGGATTAAATTACACGGAAAAGAAAAGGAAAAAAAAATATAGCATACCTGTAAAAATCGTTATATTTAATTAAAGAATAAAACTTATCTATAATATTTTATGTACAGTTAGTGCTGTTCTTTCATTAGATTTAGATTTTTACTTTAAAAGTTCATATTTTATCAAATATATGCCACATTTTAAAGATAAAATTCTAAATTTAATTAGGAAAACAGGTCCTAAAGTCAGTATATAAGTTTTAATATATATTTAGAGGTTTGACGAAGACTCCTTCAAGTCCTGGTCTTAACAGCTCATGAACAGCATGCCATATATTAAATGCGTTTCGTTTAGAAAAGTTCGTAGCGGAATTACACGGATGCATGCCTTGACTTTATCCATTTTTATTTTATCTTTTTACTATTTAATTATTATTGTGGTTGGTAAATATCATTTTTCTAATTTTAATATGAGAGAGATAGAACGGGCTGGCCGCATTTAAGTTTCCACTCTTAAAAATCTCCACCGAAAATAGTTCAGCTGCCTTTTACTTCTTTCACCGCACATTATCAGTACATGCACTCCCATTAATCATTATATCTTTATGTTTTATTTCAATTGTGCTTCTCCTTCGTCACTTTTCTTGCCTGAGTGTGTTTTTTTTTGGATTAAGGAGTATGGCGAGCTTTGATGGTGGTTTGGAGTTAGTTATAAATATATTTTTTATATTATTAATAAATAATATAATATCTCATTTTAATAGATTACGACGATACCAAATAAGTGTGCTAAATAAACAAATAAGTGTGCTAAATAAACAAGGGATAACATATATACGCAAAAGTAATAAAACTAATGCTAAGAAGTTTACTGATCTTAGCAAACCATCTACCATGTCTTGTTTCTATTACAATAATATTGGTCACTTATCTAAAACATGCTATTATAAGAAGGTTGGTGTTCCTAAATGGAAATTCAAGTGGATTCCAAAAGAACCAACACAAGCAACTAACAGCAAAGGTCCCAAATTTATTTGGGTACCTGCAACCAAACCTTTCAATTGTTTTACAGGTAAGTGAGATGAATCACAGATACAATGACTCAAGGAAAGCACAAAACTGAAACATATATCCTTCATAGCTCCTTAAGTTCATCAAATGTGGTAACTGGCTATAATATTGACAAAACATGCATCATTTATGTTCTATGTAATCACTTGGATGTGTGTGATGATTGTTGGTTGTTTGGTATGAAAGAATTGTGTGAAAATTCATTTATGCATGTTTTAACCGATTACATTAGTAGTGGAATCGATTAAACTTTTCTCATTGTTTTCACTTATTGTTGAAATTGCATGCAATGAACTTAATTTTTTAGATAAAGAGGTTAATCGATTATATCTGACTCTGTATGGGCTTTTCAATTTTCAAATGGGCTTTCCTCTATACTTAATCAATTAGGGTAAATCATCAATCAACTTGTGCCTATCTATCTCTGTATTCTGAATCAAACCTATTTTGCTAAAAAAATCATCTTAAATCTTAAATTCCCATGACATCCTCATCCAAGCGTTGCAAGAGGGTCGCTCAAAAGGTCAGATACGCAAGCCCCTTAGGTTGGATCAGTGACGAAGAGGCACAAACTAACTTTGAGTGCTTCTAGCGCATTAGAAAAGTTATTTTCCACAAGCTTTTAGGTATACTCTTCTTCAAGCGAGAAGGGTTTGTTTTCCAGGACTGGCTGGAGTATCAAGGTCTTGCAAGGGTCATTGAAATGTCAGGAGATTGGTACCCTGACCTAATAAAGGTTTTCTATGCTAATCTCAGAGTTGAAAATGGAATTGTTTGCTCTCGAGTAAAAGGTGTGAACAACAAGCTCGATGAAGGTATTTCGTCAATGATTGTTGGCTTCAAGCTTGGTGGACATAAGTCTTACTTGAGTGTTCTTGTTATAAACAAGCTTGCAATATATAAAGCTTGCTTGAGAAACCCAGATGAACCTAGAGACTTCACATTGTTTAACGTTGGGGGACTGCAAAGAGATGAAAGATTATGTGCATTTGTAATTTCTTGGATTCTACTGCCTAGAGGAGGTAATCATGCTCAACTCACAATTGAGGATGTATATCTACTTCATGCTCTCAAGGGAAGGTTAGAAACTGATTGGATAGTTGTTGTTTGTGATCATATGGTCAAGATCTCCAAGCAGAATATGGCTAGCCTTCGACATGCTATGTTTTTTAGCCGGGTCATGCGTCATCATTTTGTTGACCTCACTAATGAAGTTACAATGAGCTATAATAAGAAAAATCTGATGAGCAAATATTGATGGTTGAAGAAGACGTAGTACCTCTGAAGGTGGACAAGTCAGATACTGAATCTAATTTTCAACCAAAGACAAACTTTGAGGGATTCATGGTCAAGCAAATGAAGATCCAATCTGCAAGACTCAAAAGGATTGAAAAGTCTCTTGTTAGAGTCCATAGGAAACTGAATGATGGATTTGACAATGCAGAGGTCTTTGGGAGTGACAAGGTAGATGAAGATTACATAGATATTTCTTATTAGAATAGGGATTTGATTTAGTTTAAATTCTTTCTTGGGAAAATTGTAATTTCTGCCATAAAGCTTTATGTTTGAACAATTTGTTCCTTTCTATTCTTAAGTTGTTTGGATGAGTATTTTGTTTGAAATTACTTTGTTTTATGAGCAATGTCTTATGTTTGACTTTTAATATAATTTGGATGATTAAGTTAATTCCTATATCCACAATATCTGAATGAATTGATTTAATCAAGCATGTAATTGAATGAACACAATGAATGAGTGTATTGACTCTGTTCTGAATGGTGAATCTGATTTATCACTTGGTCATGTGCTTAATTCCTCATATCATTCATTAATCATGCATTGGTATATAACTACTACTCAAATCATGATTATTGTGATACTAACACTGTAAAGTGTTGAGAAAGTTGTTGTTGCAGTTATAAAGTGATCACAACAGATTTCATGATCATATATTGTGCTTTTGGTCATATTTGCGATTTTTAACAGATTAAACACTTGCGTAATCTGTTAAATAATCTACAATTTATAATCTATTACATTAATAATGTAATCGATTATGCGCTTAAATCTGATTTATATGCTTAACTACATGTTTGAATTGCTGGAAAAGTTTTAAATGTCATTTTATACATGTCTGGCTTCATTATGAGATAAAACAAGTGTTTCTATCTCTACTATAGTTGTACTGATACTTGTATCATATATTCTGCTACATATAACTGATATCCTACTATCTTTTGTTTGAATTGCTGGAAAAGTTTTAAATGTCATTTTATACATGTTTGGCTTGAATGACATGTCACATGTTGTATATAACTCAAACTTACTTGGAAATCCATCATATAGTATGAAATATGCATCATTATGAGATAAAAACAAGTGTTTCTATCTCTACTATAGTTGTGCTGATACTTGTATCATATATTTTGCTGCATATAGTTGATATCCTACTGTCATTTGTGCAATAATATTCTTTTTGCTTCATATACATTGTATACATTACATGAGTAATGCACTTGATATCAAATACTATATTCATGGTAAATTAGTATATTTACTCTAATACTTGTGAAATACATCTCATATAGTGTTTCAAATTAGTACAAATGAACTCTCATACACACTCTGATACCAATCATTTACTGCTCACATATTGTCACATTGTTATATCTCTTTTTTGATAGGGAGAACATTATTCTTAAATGGTCTGTATGTAAATTTTGATGTTTCTTTTAGCACATACATATTCCATATATTTTTTTGTTAATGCCCAAAGGGGGAGAGTAACTGGAAAACATGTTTCTAGTTGTTCCTCATTAAAAAAGGGGAGATTGTTGATAGGGGGAGCTAAACCTACCCTTTATATCTTTTTTTTTTATCATGCACAAGAGAATGATTTTATAGTTTCTTGCACAACAAATGACATAACAATTGCTTTATCTATATCTTGTTTGTGCTTGATATGAGAATTCATTTGTATTAAATGAATCATGTATTAAACAGATTAATAATCTTACTTCTGAATGAAATAATCGATTTATCATAATGTATAATATGCTAGATTTCACCAGTTCACTTTGTATGTTTAAGAACAAACTGGTCTGTAGTAATCGATTACATAAGTTGTCTAATCGATTAAAATAGAAAGCAATGCATTTATCTGTTTCATAAGTGGGTAAATCTGTTTAGAATGGAAATTTGATTGAAAATTTTTATAAGTGTAGGATTAATCGATTACATAAGTTGTCTAATCAATTAAATCAATTTACTTTGTTTAAATCCATTTCATTTAATAGTTTGATTTATTATAACTGTCATTTGAATATATAAATGACTTATGTGATTAAATAATTGATTACATGCTTNGCGGAATTACACGGATGCATGCCTTGACTTTATCCATTTTTATTTTATCTTTTTACTATTTAATTATTATTGTGGTTGGTAAATATCATTTTTCTAATTTTAATATGAGAGAGATAGAACGGGCTGGCCGCATTTAAGTTTCCACTCTTAAAAATCTCCACCGAAAATAGTTCAGCTGCCTTTTACTTCTTTCACCGCACATTATCAGTACATGCACTCCCATTAATCATTATATCTTTATGTTTTATTTCAATTGTGCTTCTCCTTCGTCACTTTTCTTGCCTGAGTGTGTTTTTTTTTGGATTAAGGAGTATGGCGAGCTTTGATGGTGGTTTGGAGTTAGTTATAAATATATTTTTTATATTATTAATAAATAATATAATATCTCATTTTAATAGATTACGACGATACCAAATAAGTGTGCTAAATAAACAAATAAGTGTGCTAAATAAACAAGGGATAACATATATACGCAAAAGTAATAAAACTAATGCTAAGAAGTTTACTGATCTTAGCAAACCATCTACCATGTCTTGTTTCTATTACAATAATATTGGTCACTTATCTAAAACATGCTATTATAAGAAGGTTGGTGTTCCTAAATGGAAATTCAAGTGGATTCCAAAAGAACCAACACAAGCAACTAACAGCAAAGGTCCCAAATTCATTTGGGTACCTGCAACCAAACCTTTCAATTGTTTTACAGGTAAGTGAGATGAATCACAGATACAATGACTCAAGGAAAGCACAAAACTGAAACATATATCCTTCATAGCTCCTTAAGTTCATCAAATGTGGTAACTGGCTATAATATTGACAAAACATGCATCATTTATGTTCTATGTAATCACTTGGATGTGTGTGATGATTGTTGGTTGTTTGGTATGAAAGAATTGTGTGAAAATTCATTTATGCATGTTTTAACCGATTACATTAGTAGTGGAATCGATTAAACTTTTCTCATTGTTTTCACTTATTGTTGAAATTGCATGCAATGAACTTAATTTTTTAGATAAAGAGGTTAATCGATTATATCTGACTCTGTATGGGCTTTTCAATTTTCAAATGGGCTTTCCTCTATACTTAATCAATTAGGGTAAATCATCAATCAACTTGTGCCTATCTATCTCTGTATTCTGAATCAAACCTATTTTGCTAAAAAAATCATCTTAAATCTTAAATTCCCATGACATCCTCATCCAAGCGTTGCAAGAGGGTCGCTCAAAAGGTCAGATACGCAAGCCCCTTAGGTTGGATCAGTGACGAAGAGGCACAAACTAACTTTGAGTGCTTCTAGCGCATTAGAAAAGTTATTTTCCACAAGCTTTTAGGTATACTCTTCTTCAAGCGAGAAGGGTTTGTTTTCCAGGACTGGCTGGAGTATCAAGGTCTTGCAAGGGTCATTGAAATGTCAGGAGATTGGTACCCTGACCTAATAAAGGTTTTCTATGCTAATCTCAGAGTTGAAAATGGAATTGTTTGCTCTCGAGTAAAAGGTGTGAACAACAAGCTCGATGAAGGTATTTCGTCAATGATTGTTGGCTTCAAGCTTGGTGGACATAAGTCTTACTTGAGTGTTCTTGTTATAAACAAGCTTGCAATATATAAAGCTTGCTTGAGAAACCCAGATGAACCTAGAGACTTCACATTGTTTAACGTTGGGGGACTGCAAAGAGATGAAAGATTATGTGCATTTGTAATTTCTTGGATTCTACTGCCTAGAGGAGGTAATCATGCTCAACTCACAATTGAGGATGTATATCTACTTCATGCTCTCAAGGGAAGGTTAGAAACTGATTGGATAGTTGTTGTTTGTGATCATATGGTCAAGATCTCCAAGCAGAATATGGCTAGCCTTCGACATGCTATGTTTTTTAGCCGGGTCATGCGTCATCATTTTGTTGACCTCACTAATGAAGTTACAATGAGCTATAATAAGAAAAATCTGATGAGCAAATATTGATGGTTGAAGAAGACGTAGTACCTCTGAAGGTGGACAAGTCAGATACTGAATCTAATTTTCAACCAAAGACAAACTTTGAGGGATTCATGGTCAAGCAAATGAAGATCCAATCTGCAAGACTCAAAAGGATTGAAAAGTCTCTTGTCAGAGTCCATAGGAAACTGAATGATGGATTTGACAATGCAGAGGTCTTTGGGAGTGACAAGGTAGATGAAGATTACATAGATATTTCTTATTAGAATAGGGATTTGATTTAGTTTAAATTCTTTCTTGGGAAAATTGTAATTTCTGCCATAAAGCTTTATGTTTGAACAATTTGTTCCTTTCTATTCTTAAGTTGTTTGGATGAGTATTTTGTTTGAAATTACTTTGTTTTATGAGCAATGTCTTATGTTTGACTTTTAATATAATTTGGATGATTAAGTTAATTCCTATATCCACAATATCTGAATGAATTGATTTAATCAAGCATGTAATTGAATGAACACAATGAATGAGTGTATTGACTCTGTTCTGAATGGTGAATCTGATTTATCACTTGGTCATGTGCTTAATTCCTCATATCATTCATTAATCATGCATTGGTATATAACTACTACTCAAATCATGATTATTGTGATACTAACACTGTAAAGTGTTGAGAAAGTTGTTGTTGCAGTTATAAAGTGATCACAACAGATTTCATGATCATATATTGTGCTTTTGGTCATATTTGCGATTTTTAACAGATTAAACACTTGCGTAATCTGTTAAATAATCTACAATTTATAATCTATTACATTAATAATGTAATCGATTATGCGCTTAAATCTGATTTATATGCTTAACTACATGTTTGAATTGCTGGAAAAGTTTTAAATGTCATTTTATACATGTCTGGCTTCATTATGAGATAAAACAAGTGTTTCTATCTCTACTATAGTTGTACTGATACTTGTATCATATATTCTGCTACATATAACTGATATCCTACTATCTTTTGTTTGAATTGCTGGAAAAGTTTTAAATGTCATTTTATACATGTTTGGCTTGAATGACATGTCACATGTTGCATATAACTCAAACTTACTTGGAAATCCATCATATAGTATGAAATATGCATCATTATGAGATAAAAACAAGTGTTTCTATCTCTACTATAGTTGTGCTGATACTTGTATCATATATTTTGCTGCATATAGTTGATATCCTACTGTCATTTGTGCAATAATATTCTTTTTGCTTCATATACATTGTATACATTACATGAGTAATGCACTTGATATCAAATACTATATTCATGGTAAATTAGTATATTTACTCTAATACTTGTGAAATACATCTCATATAGTGTTTCAAATTAGTACAAATGAACTCTCATACACACTCTGATACCAATCATTTACTGCTCACATATTGTCACATTGTTATATCTCTTTTTTGATAGGGAGAACATTATTCTTAAATGGTCTGTATGTAAATTTTGATGTTTCTTTTAGCACATACATATTCCATATATTTTTTTGTTAATGCCCAAAGGGGGAGAGTAACTGGAAAACATGTTTCTAGTTGTTCCTCATTAAAAAAGGGGAGATTGTTGATAGGGGGAGCTAAACCTACCCTTTATATCTTTTTTTTTTATCATGCACAAGAGAATGATTTTATAGTTTCTTGCACAACAAATGACATAACAATTGCTTTATCTATATCTTGTTTGTGCTTGATATGAGAATTCATTTGTATTAAATGAATCATGTATTAAACAGATTAATAATCTTACTTCTGAATGAAATAATCGATTTATCATAATGTATAATATGCTAGATTTCACCAGTTCACTTTGTATGTTTAAGAACAAACTGGTCTGTAGTAATCGATTACATAAGTTGTCTAATCGATTAAAATAGAAAGCAATGCATTTATCTGTTTCATAAGTGGGTAAATCTGTTTAGAATGGAAATTTGATTGAAAATTTTTATAAGTGTAGGATTAATCGATTACATAAGTTGTCTAATCAATTAAATCAATTTACTTTGTTTAAATCCATTTCATTTAATAGTTTGATTTATTATAACTGTCATTTGAATATATAAATGACTTATGTGATTAAATAATTGATTACATGCTTAGAATAATATGTTAAAACAAAAGCAAATTGTTAAAGTAGAACCATAAAGCTTAACAGATTACATAAAAACCTTAATCGATTATAATGCATGAGGATTCAAAAAATCATATATATATGTGACTTGAGTTTTTGTTTCAAAATGTTAAATTGCTATTATTTTCAAATACTAACGTTTACATTGAGTTATAAATACATGAGCATTCAAGAAGTGATCTTGGAGAATCAAGGCTACATTGGTTGCTTATACATCAAGATTCTTTGAAGAAAAGTAGGCTAAAGTTGTTCTGATTTGATCTGCACTAAAGGTGTGTGACTTGGAGATCAATTTCATCATAAACAATCTTTGTATTGTGTTCCTGTATAGGTTTGCCAGGGGTTTAAGGGTTGTGAGTGCTCTTGTATTAAGAGATTGAGGATTGTTCATCTCTTGGGTAGCTATATTGATTTTGAGTGTGGTGAGAAGTACATTGAGAGGGGTATCTCGATATTTTTGTAAACTCAATCAATTTATAGTGGAATTCCTTCAACTCAGGTTGATTGAAAGAGGACTGAATGTAGACTTGGGATTAGTCGAACCAATATAGATTGTCTGTATTGATCTTTCTCTCTACTCTTTCTCTTTTGTTGTTGATTCATCACTTCTTATTTATTGATTTCAAGAAAGCCAAAGATTTCACAAAGATTTTGAAAAGAACAATTTTTAAGACTTAATCCAATTTATCCCCTCTTGGGCTTGAGATATAAGGCATTTATTTTCTTACACTATGGATGTAAAGATTAAAATTGCAGTGTTGAAAAAAGAAATTGTCAATAAATTGACAACGTCTCAAACAAAACCAAACTAATTTAAAAAAGTAAGATTTAAGTTTGGAAGAAAAATGGTTAAATTAATTTTGATCCATAAATGTTGATTAAAGAATTCAATTCATTTAAAAAAAGTAATTGGTAAATAGTAAACCATTAGATCTAATCCATTTTTGTTTCTCTTTCAGCTATTGACTTAAACTCAAGTCCACATCCCTTTTACATATCAAGCCATATGATAACGCACTTGCAACAAAAAGTTTGAAACCATGCCTGCTATTTGTAAATGACGTATGAGAAGACGCATTCATGAGATTCAATGTTGCATATATAGCTAGCTCTTCAATTAAGCATATCAGCATATCTATATAAAATTGAAATGTAACACCACATATCCCTTTGCAGGGGCACCCCTAATGATACATAGTAAGTATCAACAAACAAAAAGCTATACAACATAGAATTCATCCTAGACTATCCAAAAGTTGAGTAAAAATATTGTGATGTGAAAGTCTCATATGAAAGCAACATCTATATGAGTTTCTTCTTCAGAAAAAACCGCTTCAGATGCCACACTTGTAACAAAGAAACCAAAACGCAGATACCAAGAGACATGACGCTATACCAAGCAACTCTGCTATTTGTTTTTTCACTGACTTCTCTCATCCTTGCTTCCCTGTAACGAAGTTCAAGAAAAAGTATTTCTAAAATGCACTAATCATCAAATATAAAAGGTAGCAGATAGCAGTTATTGTGAAGGGTCATTTCTTAGTTAGCACAAACAACAGACCCTTTAGTTAATTTCAATTGATAAATATATTTAGTGTGAAACTTTAAGATCTCACTTTATAACTAACATTGTAAATTCCACACATTAACAATGAGAAACTAAGAATAATTGAACCCTGGTAATCAAATATAAATCAAGCATAAAATGTAAGGGGGATAGCATATTTACTTATCCTTCATATAAATTAGATAACCATGGATGGCTTCTACTGCTCCTTCAAGTTTCCTGAGCTCGAGTTCAACACCCTTGAACCAATGCAGGAAAAAAAACCACAAACATGTATCAATTTCGTTTATACATAGAATAAGTAACATATGCACTGGTAAAGAAAACTTTTTTATACTATTATTGAACCACAAACTATAATGTATAATAAGTTTTGTATAAAAAAGCTTAATTATCCTTTTGGTCTTCATAGTTTTGACAACTTTTCTTTATAGTATCTATAATCTAAAACATCACATTTTGGTTCTTATAGTTACGTTTTTTTACCCCTTTGGTCCTCACCATCAAATATTGGTTAATACCATTTGAAGAAACATGAATGAAGTTAAGAAAAACTCCAGAAGCAAGCTCAGACACCATGTTCTCACATGTAGGGACGTAGTGGTGGACTTTACCACAGTGTTCATAAGTTGTTGAGAGAGTAACATGTTTTCTCTTGGAGTAAGAGTGATTTGCAGTCTCACGTTATATAGAAATGGACAAGTTGAGTAGCATATAAGTGAGAAGAAATCCAGAAACCTGCAATCTTACGGTTTTTGATTGAAGACGGTATCAAATTCTTTGGTATTGTTTTATGTTGCATTAGTGAACATTTTCCCATTTTTCTCTCTCCAATGAAATACTAGTGGTTAAAAAAATGAGATGTGCTATACTATAGAAAGGAAAAGGTGTTGCAATTCAAGGAACAAAGAGTATATGAATCTTATAATAGCTATCTTAACAATAGTTTTTAATTAATTGACAACATAAAAACTTTTATACTAATGGTGCCTATTAAAACTATTATGTATATGACAAAGCAATGACAGAACATGAATGAAATTCATTGGTTTACCTCGATCTTCTCTTTCTTTGCAACGGACTCCCAATCTTTGGCAGCAATTCCAGTTTTCCATTCAAGGCTCAAAGTTCCTTCTTGTTCATGTTTACCATCCATCCAAAAGCACGCCACGTAGTTCCCACTCTCCTCTGTTGTAAATGCAAATTGACCTTGTGTAGCATTTTGATTATCGTAAAGGCTATTCCCATAAGGAGATGTTACCTGGAAAATAAAAAATCAAATTAAAACAAATGATGAACATGAATCCCTAAAAATCACCTTAACCTAATATCCTTATTTCACAATCACAACATTAGAAATAAAAAAATAAAAAAAAAAAGAGTTCTCAGTTCTCAANTCAAATACTAACGTTTACATTGAGTTATAAATACATGAGCATTCAAGAAGTGATCTTGGAGAATCAAGGCTACATTGGTTGCTTATACATCAAGATTCTTTGAAGAAAAGTAGGCTAAAGTTGTTCTGATTTGATCTGCACTAAAGGTGTGTGACTTGGAGATCAATTTCATCATAAACAATCTTTGTATTGTGTTCCTGTATAGGTTTGCCAGGGGTTTAAGGGTTGTGAGTGCTCTTGTATTAAGAGATTGAGGATTGTTCATCTCTTGGGTAGCTATATTGATTTTGAGTGTGGTGAGAAGTACATTGAGAGGGGTATCTCGATATTTTTGTAAACTCAATCAATTTATAGTGGAATTCCTTCAACTCAGGTTGATTGAAAGAGGACTGAATGTAGACTTGGGATTAGTCGAACCAATATAGATTGTCTGTATTGATCTTTCTCTCTACTCTTTCTCTTTTGTTGTTGATTCATCATTTCTTATTTATTGATTTCAAGAAAGCCAAAGATTTCACAAAGATTTTGAAAAGAACAATTTTTAAGACTTAATCCAATTTATCCCCTCTTGGGCTTGAGATATAAGGCATTTATTTTCTTACACTATGGATGTAAAGATTAAAATTGCAGTGTTGAAAAAAGAAATTGTCAATAAATTGACAACGTCTCAAACAAAACCAAACTAATTTAAAAAAGTAAGATTTAAGTTTGGAAGAAAAATGGTTAAATTAATTTTGATCCATAAATGTTGATTAAAGAATTCAATTCATTTAAAAAAAGTAATTGGTAAATAGTAAACCATTAGATCTAATCCATTTTTGTTTCTCTTTCAGCTATTGACTTAAACTCAAGTCCACATCCCTTTTACATATCAAGCCATATGATAACGCACTTGCAACAAAAAGTTTGAAACCATGCCTGCTATTTGTAAATGACGTATGAGAAGACGCATTCATGAGATTCAATGTTGCATATATAGCTAGCTCTTCAATTAAGCATATCAGCATATCTATATAAAATTGAAATGTAACACCACATATCCCTTTGCAGGGGCACCCCTAATGATACATAGTAAGTATCAACAAACAAAAAGCTATACAACATAGAATTCATCCTAGACTATCCAAAAGTTGAGTAAAAATATTGTGATGTGAAAGTCTCATATGAAAGCAACATCTATATGAGTTTCTTCTTCAGAAAAAACCGCTTCAGATGCCACACTTGTAATAAAGAAACCAAAACGCAGATACCAAGAGACATGACGCTATACCAAGCAACTCTGCTATTTGTTTTTTCACTGACTTCTCTCATCCTTGCTTCCCTGTAACTAAGTTCAAGAAAAAGTATTTCTTAAATGCACTAATCATCAAATATAAAAGGTAGCAGATAGCAGTTATTGTGAAGGGTCATTTCTTAGTTAGCACAAACAACAGACCCTTTAGTTAATTTCAATTGATAAATATATTTAGTGTGAAACTTTAAGATCTCACTTTATAACTAACATTGTAAATTCCACACATTAATGAGAAACTAAGAATTATTGAACCCTAGTAATCAAATATAAATCAAGCATAAAATGTAAGGGGGATAGCATATTTACTTATCCTTCATATAAATTAGATAACCATGGATGGCTTCTACTGCTCCTTCAAGTTTCCTGAGCTCGAGTTCAACACCCTTGAACCAATGCAGGAAAAANTACTATAGTTGTACTGATACTTGTATCATATATTCTGCTACATATAACTGATATCCTACTATCTTTTGTTTGAATTGCTGGAAAAGTTTTAAATGTCATTTTATACATGTTTGGCTTGAATGACATGTCACATGTTGCATATAACTCAAACTTACTTGGAAATCCATCATATAGTATGAAATATGCATCATTATGAGATAAAAACAAGTGTTTCTATCTCTACTATAGTTGTGCTGATACTTGTATCATATATTTTGCTGCATATAGTTGATATCCTACTGTCATTTGTGCAATAATATTCTTTTTGCTTCATATACATTGTATACATTACATGAGTAATGCACTTGATATCAAATACTATATTCATGGTAAATTAGTATATTTACTCTAATACTTGTGAAATACATCTCATATAGTGTTTCAAATTAGTACAAATGAACTCTCATACACACTCTGATACCAATCATTTACTGCTCACATATTGTCACATTGTTATATCTCTTTTTTGATAGGGAGAACATTATTCTTAAATGGTCTGTATGTAAATTTTGATGTTTCTTTTAGCACATACATATTCCATATATTTTTTTGTTAATGCCCAAAGGGGGAGAGTAACTGGAAAACATGTTTCTAGTTGTTCCTCATTAAAAAAGGGGAGATTGTTGATAGGGGGAGCTAAACCTACCCTTTATATCTTTTTTTTTTATCATGCACAAGAGAATGATTTTATAGTTTCTTGCACAACAAATGACATAACAATTGCTTTATCTATATCTTGTTTGTGCTTGATATGAGAATTCATTTGTATTAAATGAATCATGTATTAAACAGATTAATAATCTTACTTCTGAATGAAATAATCGATTTATCATAATGTATAATATGCTAGATTTCACCAGTTCACTTTGTATGTTTAAGAACAAACTGGTCTGTAGTAATCGATTACATAAGTTGTCTAATCGATTAAAATAGAAAGCAATGCATTTATCTGTTTCATAAGTGGGTAAATCTGTTTAGAATGGAAATTTGATTGAAAATTTTTATAAGTGTAGGATTAATCGATTACATAAGTTGTCTAATCAATTAAATCAATTTACTTTGTTTAAATCCATTTCATTTAATAGTTTGATTTATTATAACTGTCATTTGAATATATAAATGACTTATGTGATTAAATAATTGATTACATGCTTAGAATAATATGTTAAAACAAAAGCAAATTGTTAAAGTAGAACCATAAAGCTTAACAGATTACATAAAAACCTTAATCGATTATAATGCATGAGGATTCAAAAAATCATATATATATGTGACTTGAGTTTTTGTTTCAAAATGTTAAATTGCTATTATTTTCAAATACTAACGTTTACATTGAGTTATAAATACATGAGCATTCAAGAAGTGATCTTGGAGAATCAAGGCTACATTGGTTGCTTATACATCAAGATTCTTTGAAGAAAAGTAGGCTAAAGTTGTTCTGATTTGATCTGCACTAAAGGTGTGTGACTTGGAGATCAATTTCATCATAAACAATCTTTGTATTGTGTTCCTGTATAGGTTTGCCAGGGGTTTAAGGGTTGTGAGTGCTCTTGTATTAAGAGATTGAGGATTGTTCATCTCTTGGGTAGCTATATTGATTTTGAGTGTGGTGAGAAGTACATTGAGAGGGGTATCTCGATATTTTTGTAAACTCAATCAATTTATAGTGGAATTCCTTCAACTCAGGTTGATTGAAAGAGGACTGAATGTAGACTTGGGATTAGTCGAACCAATATAGATTGTCTGTATTGATCTTTCTCTCTACTCTTTCTCTTTTGTTGTTGATTCATCACTTCTTATTTATTGATTTCAAGAAAGCCAAAGATTTCACAAAGATTTTGAAAAGAACAATTTTTAAGACTTAATCCAATTTATCCCCTCTTGGGCTTGAGATATAAGGCATTTATTTTCTTACACTATGGATGTAAAGATTAAAATTGCAGTGTTGAAAAAAGAAATTGTCAATAAATTGACAACGTCTCAAACAAAACCAAACTAATTTAAAAAAGTAAGATTTAAGTTTGGAAGAAAAATGGTTAAATTAATTTTGATCCATAAATGTTGATTAAAGAATTCAATTCATTTAAAAAAAGTAATTGGTAAATAGTAAACCATTAGATCTAATCCATTTTTGTTTCTCTTTCAGCTATTGACTTAAACTCAAGTCCACATCCCTTTTACATATCAAGCCATATGATAACGCACTTGCAACAAAAAGTTTGAAACCATGCCTGCTATTTGTAAATGACGTATGAGAAGACGCATTCATGAGATTCAATGTTGCATATATAGCTAGCTCTTCAATTAAGCATATCAGCATATCTATATAAAATTGAAATGTAACACCACATATCCCTTTGCAGGGGCACCCCTAATGATACATAGTAAGTATCAACAAACAAAAAGCTATACAACATAGAATTCATCCTAGACTATCCAAAAGTTGAGTAAAAATATTGTGATGTGAAAGTCTCATATGAAAGCAACATCTATATGAGTTTCTTCTTCAGAAAAAACCGCTTCAGATGCCACACTTGTAACAAAGAAACCAAAACGCAGATACCAAGAGACATGACGCTATACCAAGCAACTCTGCTATTTGTTTTTTCACTGACTTCTCTCATCCTTGCTTCCCTGTAACGAAGTTCAAGAAAAAGTATTTCTAAAATGCACTAATCATCAAATATAAAAGGTAGCAGATAGCAGTTATTGTGAAGGGTCATTTCTTAGTTAGCACAAACAACAGACCCTTTAGTTAATTTCAATTGATAAATATATTTAGTGTGAAACTTTAAGATCTCACTTTATAACTAACATTGTAAATTCCACACATTAATGAGAAACTAAGAATTATTGAACCCTAGTAATCAAATATAAATCAAGCATAAAATGTAAGGGGGATAGCATATTTACTTATCCTTCATATAAATTAGATAACCATGGATGGCTTCTACTGCTCCTTCAAGTTTCCTGAGCTCGAGTTCAACACCCTTGAACCAATGCAGGAAAAAAAACCACAAACATGTATCAATTTCGTTTATACATAGAATAAGTAACATATGCACTGGTAAAGAAAACTTTTTTATACTATTATTGAACCACAAACTATAATGTATAATAAGTTTTGTATAAAAAAGCTTAATTATCCTTTTGGTCTTCATAGTTTTGACAACTTTTCTTTATAGTATCTATAATCTAAAACATCACATTTTGGTTCTTATAGTTACGTTTTTTTACCCCTTTGGTCCTCACCATCAAATATTGGTTAATACCATTTGAAGAAACATGAATGAAGTTAAGAAAAACTCCAGAAGCAAGCTCAGACACCATGTTCTCACATGTAGGGACGTAGTGGTGGACTTTACCACAGTGTTCATAAGTTGTTGAGAGAGTAACATGTTTTCTCTTGGAGTAAGAGTGATTTGCAGTCTCACGTTATATAGAAATGGACAAGTTGAGTAGCATATAAGTGAGAAGAAATCCAGAAACCTGCAATCTTACGGTTTTTGATTGAAGACGGTATCAAATTCTTTGGTATTGTTTTATGGTGCATTAGTGAACATTTTCCCATTTTTCTCTCTCCAATGAAATACTAGTGGTTAAAAAAATGAGATGTGCTATACTATAGAAAGGAAAAGGTGTTGCAATTCAAGGAACAAAGAGTATATGAATCTTATAATAGCTATCTTAACAATAGTTTTTAATTAATTGACAACATAAAAACTTTTATACTAATGGTGCCTATTAAAACTATTATGTATATGACAAAGCAATGACAGAACATGAATGAAATTCATTGGTTTACCTCGATCTTCTCTTTCTTTGCAACGGACTCCCAATCTTTGGCAGCAATTCCAGTTTTCCATTCAAGGCTCAAAGTTCCTTCTTGTTCATGTTTACCATCCATCCAAAAGCACGCCACGTAGTTCCCACTCTCCTCTGTTGTAAATGCAAATTGACCTTGTGTAGCATTTTGATTATCGTAAAGGCTATTCCCATAAGGAGATGTTACCTGGAAAATAAAAAATCAAATTAAAACAAATGATGAACATGAATCCCTAAAAATCACCTTAACCTAATATCCTTATTTCACAATCACAACATTAGAAATAAAAAAATAAAAAAAAAAAGAGTTCTCAGTTCTCAAATCTGCAACAGGGGACTTGGACAGAAACGAATGAGGTGAGAATTTTTTAAATTTCAGACTAGTCATAGGTCAGGAAAATTAAAAACAAAACACCCCTTATTCATCATTGACATTGGTTCATCTGAATGAAACCCTGTTAGTGAAAAACTTATTAGATACTTTCATACCAGTAATCAATCTTTAAGTTAACACGTTATTGAGTTTTCAAATTTACAGAAAAAGATAAAGTATATTAGACTACGTATCATTTAGTGATTAGGGAATCTCTCACCACTATGACTGTCCGAACACAGAAAATTCATCAGATTTCTCCATAAGCAAAGTTTAATTTCCAATTTATAAATTGTGAAAACACTTGTCACCAACAATCAAATTGACCAACACGAATCAACAAGTGGAAGGTCCAAGTGTCTATGGATTCAGTTCTCTTGATCAAGCTCTCAAATTCGTATCTTATGGATGAAAATAATGTGATTGGGAGGGAGACCTCAGCAAAGATGCTCAATGAGGTTCTCTATAGATATTAGCCATGCATTTGATACTTTATATCAAAACATGGCAACATAAATAAAACTTACCAGCATGACAAGGAATAAAAAAACATCAAAAGTAGCCAGCAATGCAAATCTAAATCAATCAACAAGTTGGATCAAGCACATATAATTTTTCATGGGTTGGGAAGATTAATAAACAGACCTTGACAGAAACTGTGCTGAGCTGTGGATCACCTTCAGTGACAACATAGTAATCGGCTAAAACAACAATGTTTTTCTGGATTTCCTCGGACATGCACTTAGTCCCCGTAGTGGGGAT